AAGTCAACTTAGTACAATTGAAGTCAACTTAGTACAATTGAAGTCAACATTAGAGAAATCGAAATCGAATTAGTACAATTGAACTCGAATTAGTACAATTGAAGTCAATTATAGTGAAATCGAACTCGAATTAGTATAATTGAAGTCAACTTAGTACAATTGAAGTCAACTTAGTACAATTGAAGTCAATTATAGTGAAATCGAACTCGAATTAGTATAATTTAAGTCAACTTAGTACAATTGAAGTCAACTTAGTACAATTGAAGTCAACATTAGAGAAATCGAAATCGAATTAGTACAACTGAAAAGTCTCTATGGTCTTATTGAAGTCAACTTAGAACAATTGAAGTTAACTTAGTACAATTGAACTCGAATATGTTATAATAATATGTTATAGTAATATTGTATATAGTATACTAGTAATATGTTATAATAATATGTTATAGTATATAGTATATAGTAAAATAGTAATATAGCATATAGTATATAGTATATAGTATACTATTATATATTTTATAGATATGTTATATACTATACTATATATTATACATATATTTATGTTTATATAAATTATAACATATATGTATATATTATAAATACTATATAAGAATAAAAGTTGCGTAACTATAGCAGCGATAGTCTAGTGCGGCCTAATGGTAACGAGGTGCCCCCAGAGATAACGGACTCACCCGAACCCGGGTTCGAGTCCCGAATCTGGGATCCTTAGTTACATTTTTTTTAACAAGTAAAACGTATTCTCGGAATACGTTTTACTATTTAATAATACTAAAACGTATTCCCAGAATACGTTTTACAATTAAATAAAGGTAAAACGTATGTCGGGAATACGTTTTACCATTAAATATAAAAAAAAGGTCTTTCTTCTTCTTCTCCTTACGCGAACATCCAAACTGTTTTGAGAAAGAGAGAGCAGAGCAGAGAGGGGAAAATACGAACAGAAGGAAAAAAAAAAAAAATTAAACCCGCCGTCGCCGTCCGTTGCCGTCGCCGTCGCCGTCCGTTGCCGTCGCCGCCTCGCCTACTTCACAGTCTAAGGTACATTCATTCGATTATGGCTTTAATTTTGTCAATTTCATTCAATACCTCAAATTAGGGCTAAATTTAGGGTTTCGAATTTGTGAATTTATTTGTGATTTGTGAGTTTATTTGTGAATTAGAGAGTGGAATTATTCGTGATTTGTAGTAATTTGTGAATTTATTCGTGAATTGTGAAGTTATTTGTGAATTTATTTGCGAATTAGGGTTTCAAATTATTTGATATATGTTGAATTTGTGAATTCATTCGTGAATTGTGAATTTATTTGGTGAATTAGAGCTTCGAATTATTTAAGATATGTTGAATTTGTGAATTTATTCGTCATTTGTGATATGTTGAATTTTTGAATTTATTCGTCATTTGTGATATGTTGAATTTTTGAATTTATTCGTGACTTGTGAATTTATAGGTGATTTGGTGAATTTATTGTGTAAATAATTTATTTGTGAATTTGTGAATTTTTATTGTTTAAAAAAACGTATTTGTGAATTTATTCTTGCATATAATTTATTTGTGAATTAGAGCTTCGAATTATTTAAGAAATGTTGAATTTGTGAATTTATACGTTTAATTTGTGAATCTATTCGTGATTTGGTGAATTTATTGTGTATATAATTTATTTGTGAATTTGTGAATTTATTGTTTATTTAATTTATTTGTAGAAAATGGCATCATCGTCCTCGTCACAACCTCAACGGTTGAATGTACACCCCGGTCCGATTGATCGCTCCCTTTTATACCTTCAGTACCGCCACCGGTCGAGAGCGGTATATGAAGATTTAGAAGGATGTCGTAACGGCACCATTAAAAACCGCCGTAACGACAATGAATTTTGGAAGGTGTTGGACAGACAACATCCGACGGTTTTACCGGTGATCGATAGGACGGGTTTTGGGCCGTTGTTTCGGATGGGCAGAGTCCAGACCGACAACAGCCTAATTACCTGTCTGGTCGAAAGGTGGCGACTGGAGACGCACACCTTCCATTTTGATTTCGGGGAGGCCACAATCACGCTCCAGGACGTACAAGTCCTGTTTGGTCTCCCGGTCGATGGAAAGCCTTGCTGGGGAGAGACTGTAGATTGGACAAACCAGCAATGGCGAGACGAGTGTTTGGACCTTCTAGGGTTCGACCCCCAGGTAAATTTTTTAACACATTTTTTTTATTTATTTATTTTTTGTTTGTTTATGTATAATCCATTGTTTGATTTTTAATATATATAAATCACTCTCAGGAAGCAGACGACCCGACAGCCAACCCCAAAACTTGGGGAATTGTGGGCCAGTATCTGAAGCACTCGAGGTTGGAAAACGAATGCAACAGAGTGCTGCAAGATGGAGAGGAAATATCGACCTACGAAGAGAGGGCGAGGGCGCTTATCCTCTGGTGCCTTGGATCGTTCTTCTTTCCCGATCAGAGTGCCTGCGGAGTCAACTTGTACTGGACCCAGCTCTTGCGCGACATCGATAAGATCAAGGAGTACAGCTGGGGGTCGGCGCTACTGGCCGCAGTGTATAGAGCGCTGTGCACGAGCTACAAGACCGGAGAAGGCTGGATCAAGAGCTGTGTCCAATTGATTCAGGTACATTTAATTAATTGTTATTTCAAAATTCATTTTTTTTTTTCTAATTTAGACTAATATTTAATAACAAATGAATATGGCTATATCTTTAGGTTTGGGCATGGGAACGTATCCCTCGGCTTCGCCCGAGAATGAAGGGTACGAGATTTCAAACAGTCACTGGTTGTCCTTTAGGTGGAAAGTAATGATATTTATTTATATATTTTATAATTTTATTATTTCAATTATCAATTTTCTAATTACAATTTCTGATGTTTTTTTTTTCTGTGATTTTTAAGGTGGGTGGGACGGAAGGACACGAAACACATAGTAACGGGAACAGCCGCTGTCCGGGATCAACTGACAGGGCTAAGAGAGACGGATGTAAGATTATGATTAAATATTATTGATTGTTATTTATTTTTTGTTTTATGTGTTTTATCTTTTAATAACTTACGAAATTATTATTATTTTTTTTTTGTTTTTTACAGTTCGATTGGATGCCGTATGAAGACCTCCTGAATGCTAATGCTCTCCCGGGCCAGTGTACAGAACATTCAAGCCTCTGGATGTATAGGGGCTGGATGTTCTGTTGGGACATCTGTGAAACCCACGAGCCGGGTAGAGTCCTCCGTCAGTTCGGGTGTCATCAGTCCATCCCCGACACTCCGATCATTACGGGTGAGGTCGACTGGGAGACACACCACCGGGGCCAGGGAATGACCGGGAGGGGGGTATATGATTGGGTGGACTTTCATTCCCAGCTTGGGAATGTTTGGGTCGAACGACACCAAAATGTCCTCCCAGATGAGCGTGTGGAGTCATTCGTACAGCCTGGCCAGGGCTACCTTGATTGGTTTCACAGCAGGACTGTGAGACTAATCAGTGACCCTGCTAAGTACCCGGTGGTACAACAGGACGGAGGCTATCAGCCACTTGCCGAGCATTGGAAGTGCGATGTAAGTGTTTATAATTTGTGTGTGTGTGTGTGTTTTTTTCTTGTTCTATTATTATTTTATTTTTTGCGTTTCATAAAAATTACTTTGAATTAAATTTTCAGGCTAGCGGCATGGAGGGGGCTTATAACGTGTTATCCAATGTTGAGCATCTATATCATACAGCCCATCCGGAGATGCAGGCGGCAATCCAATATGCCAAGAGCCTTCTCTACACATCTCTGACTGTCGGAGGCGGAGAGATCGGTCAGGGGACGTCGTCAAGCCAAGTTTTATCACAAGAGAGCTACGTCCAACCCCAGAGGACGCAGTCACACCGAGCGAGGCATCAACCTCCTCCCCATATTCGTGGAGGTAGAAGACGACGTCACCGCGAACCAGTTGCCGACGCCGGGCCTGAGGAACAACAAGAAGAAGGTAAACATCTTTTAGTTAACAAAAATATAATTTTATTTATGTTTTGTGATTTTTGTTAAGTCAAATTTCTAATTTCTTAAAAAACTTAATTACTCAGCTCAAGAAGAAGAACAAGAACCTACCACACCCACAGCATCGTCTTCTTCACAACCACCACAGCGTCGGATTAGCAACCGACCGCGCAACCCTACCAATCGATACACTCCTAGTTAGTTGTGTTGTATTCGGAGACATTTTGTAGACATATATATTTATTTTTTTCTTTCGTGGATTTATGTGTAATGATATTTGAACTTGTTTGGAATTTTATATTTGGAAAGTGAATTATTGTGCTTCATTATTGTTTCTTTGACATGGTTGATATGGGCTTTGTGAATTTATATTTGGTTGTGGAATCGATCTCGATTAACCGGTGTGTTTTTGTAATTTTGTTTCTGTGAATTGCTGTTTTTGCACAGTAAAACGTATTTTCAAAATACGTTTTTGTACTGTGTAAAATTAGGTCAAAATTGATTTGGGGATAAAATTAGGGCGAAACCAATTTGGGGCAAAATTAGGTTGAAAAACGTATTTTCAAAATACGTTTTTAAACTGTGTAAAATTAGGTCAAAATTGATTTGGCGATAAAATTAGGGCGAAATCAATTTTGGGGCAAAATTAGGTAGAAAAACGTATTTTGAAAATACGTTCTAAGTTTGCAAATATTATTTTCCAAAAAAATAAGTTTTTTAAAATTAAAAATATTAATTTTAAATATTTTTCCTGAAAAACGTATTTCGGTAATACGTTTTAGCCCATTTTAATTAATTTAATTACGTTAATCACCTTAATTAATTGTTTTTTAAAAAAACGTATTCCTGAAATACGTTTCTTCAAGGAAAACGTATTTAGGGAATACGTTTTTGTTTGAAAAACGTATTCTGTGAATACGTGCTTTTGCTTTTTTTTCCACTTTCTGTCCACTTAATTTTTTTTATTTTTATATAAATAAATAATTCATCTTTAGTAGCTGCTAAGCAATAAATGGAGCTAAAAGATTATAGTGGTGAATTTAGTACAACTACCCTCGGCCTAGTTTCCAACTTCCAAGTTCCAAGGCAAGTTAATTTTCATTTACACACGGGGAATCAACTTTCGTTCAACCGAAGTTTACGTAATATTCTCATCTATTTAACTTCTCAATTTCATTCTACTTGTTAGTCCCACGATGAACTTCCAGTACAAGTACAACCAAAACTGCTCTTTTTCCTTGTTATTCAGAGAGCCGAGTCTGCAGAAAGAATGCAATAGTCACATTAAGAACACAAATTTGTTTATTTAAGAAACATCAAACTGCTCTTTACACGCATTATCACATTGCAAAGACATATGGTAAGTCACAAAAACTACCAAAAGGTCAGGAACCGAAAATCCAACTATCTGTCAGAATTATTTGTCTTAAGAATTGTATATTTAGTGATAGAACAATTACTACAATAAAAAACAAATGCAAACGGGATGTTAGTAATTATTGAAGAATTATGTTTTCCATATTTACTCTGAAACCTAAACATGGTTCACCAATGGAACATTCAAGCAGCATTCATCTCATTTCCCCTAAAATGTGAACTATCACAAATATGTTGACCTTGATGAAGTAAAACAATCTCCAAGTATGAGAGAGAGAGAGAGAGAGAGAGAGAGAGAGAGAGAGAGACTGTCTTCCAATTTTTCCTTGGGTTACTCAAGTAATTGTTTTTTTTGGATGGTCTTATAATATATCAATAGATGTTCTGGGCAAATCATGGCTTGAGAAAATTGATTATTGCAGCTTCTAACTTGAAGCTTGGCACCTCTCTACCACAGCAAGCAAACTTAAAACACAAGGTTCCTAAAATAAAGATATCCACAACTAACAGGCCAGACGAGTACAAAACAAGCATTAATACTTCAATCGTGGGTCATGGGAATGGGAATACAACTAGGAATCAACAGAAGCTGTGGGTCTGGAGAATATGGGAATGGATGGCATATATCTACTTCATAATGAGTAAACAGATGAGAGACATTCGTCCAAATCTCAAACCTCACACGAGTTTAGCTGCCTCCTACAGTAACAGCAATTTCTCTCCAATTAAAACATTCCATGTCGTGGTATTGTTACCCAAAAAAACTATAATAAGGAAAACATCACGGGGAAAATTGGCCGACCATTAGAAAATGAGACTTCAAAAGTTCGGGAAAGATCAAGACCATTATAACACTTGTTTCATATGAAGACCCAATTTCCAGATATCATATTACACAGAAGAAACAAATAATATGATAAGTGCAAAAGTGGCAAAATTGCCAGGAAAAAAAAAAACAAAACAAAACAAAACTATTTTTCCAGCTACAGTTGATATATCTCAATATATTATGGTTCTCAAAAATATGACAAAATGTGGCCAAACAATGCAAGATAATGTACTTTTTGAAGGCATCATCAAAAATATATTTGGTTTTTTTTTATTTAAAAAAAAAATGGAAAAGAGAAGGGGAAGCAGAAAGCAGAAGCTCACCTGGATAGTAAGCTCAAAACTGAACTTCCCTCCAAATATCATGGCATGGGAAAACTCTTTGTCGCGTTTGGATAGTTTAACCCTTTTTTCCCAATTCCACATATGTGAACTCGCATTTCACATTTTGCAACAAGCTCAAAGATGCAAATATCTCCCATCTGGATGTCATTGTCACGAACAAAACCCATCCATCCTCCACAGAAAGTATGCAATGTCTGCACCTTCAAAGTGGGGATAGAATTTACGGTCCAGCACTGCCCATTCAGATTACGAAGAATAATCTCCGTTTTGCAGTTAGGCAGATGTTCTGTTGAAAACCGATAAGGAATTTTCTGGATGATGAGAGAGGTAAAACAGAGTGAGCTATCACTGGTCAAACAGTAATCTTCAGAAATGTCATAAATACAAATTGGCAACGGATTACAGAGGTACAACCTCGTACAACAGAAGAGAGATGCATCATTTTGTAAAGTTAAAGTCATTAGCTTGCCTCAATTAAACCCCTTTTTATTTAAACAATACCCATTTGAGTTACAGACGAACAACACAAAAAATGTAGACAATTCTCACTACTCCGCAATATTATGCAATAGGATTATTATATGAAAAATGCTACAAGTACATAATAAGTACATAATAAATGTACATAGAGGTGTACATAACACTCACATAGAGTGGGGTCCACTTGATTTTTTATTTTTGGTAGGTCCCACTCAATGTGAGTGTTATGTACACCCCTATGTACAATATTATGTACCTATAACATTTCTCTTATTATAATATATAAAGGTTGACTTAGGTGCTTATTTGACCATGAAGCATTAGTATCAAAAAGTCCATGAAGTCCCAAGGCATGTAAATGCAGACCAACATTACGTTTTGGCAAGTGTAGATAAAAATNNNAACAAAAGAACAAAGCAAAATTAAATATAAAGAAACTCACAAGGGTGTAAGAACCACTGATGTTGAACTTCTTCATAACTCTCACAAAGTGAGGAAAACTTGATACAAAATATTGAGCAGCCATTTTCTCTTCAGGTACTGATTTCATAGACATACAGCCTTTAGTTTGAGAACCTTGTTTGTCAAAGGAACCAAATCTTTGAGCCTCTGTTTAATTCATGATAAAAAATGTCAGTTTAAGGGGGGAAAAGGCACAGGAACATGTTACCACAGAACTGAGAACTATAATACCTGATTCCACAATGCAATTATTTGATTGAGAGGCCAGAGCAGAACTCTTATTGACAGTTCCACTTACGTTCTTCAGTTTGCGTTTGGAAGTTTTAATATTTGCAGTACCATTATTATTCCCTCCATTAGCTGCCTCACCATCCTGAATATCTACCCCACCTTTTCCTACTCTAATAATTCTCACCTGCAGCTCACACGTGCTCACGAGCTCAAAAATACAGATATCACCAATATCAATGCTATTATCACGAACAAAGCTCAACCAGCCACCACAGAACGTATGTGATGTTTGGACTCTTGTAGTAGGAATTGAATTTACTGTCCAACAATCTCCTTTTAAATTACGAAGCACGATCTTCACTTTGCACTTGGGAAGGTGTTCCGTCGCAAACTGATAAGGTACGTTCTGAATGAGAAAAGTCAATCAGAAACCATGCATGAAATGGTTAATAGCTTCAAACTGAACAGAGTCGTATCAAACTCACATTTGGAGAGAATCGTGAACATTGAGAGTGCATATGTATAGCATCCATAGTAAGAAAAGGAACTCTCAAGATAATGAAAATATTTACCAGAGTATAAGAACCACTTATGTTGAATCTTTTCATGACTTTTAAAAAGTTGGGGAAAGAAGATCGAAATGATCGGGCTATTCTGTCAGCTTCTGCAGCTGACAACAGCATATTGGCTCTACTCCTGACAGATGAATCTGCATATAAAATTCAAAGGAAAAAATAAATTTCAAAATGTATAAAAAAATTAAAATAGTTGAAATGTTGGGAGAAAAATGTATGGGCATATCCGAATCGCAACAAAAGGTGAGTTGATTTCATATCTGCCTTTATAGTGCCAACCAATTTCTCAAATCCTAGTCTGCAATTGTCTACAAATTTGAAATTATCTTTTCTTTTTTTTTTTTTTTNTTATAGAAAATAGTATTTGTCGCATATAGTCAAATATCAGCTTCCATCACAATTTCCGAGTAGTACTGAAATCACCAACAGTACATGAAAATAATTAAACAAAACTCAATAAATGCACAAACTAATTACTGAAACACCATTGGTTATCAACATTACCAGGGTTCTCATGGGGAATTGCAGTAAGAGGAAAAGCAATTGTAACATCATTTTCGATGTTAATATTTTCATCCTCTTGCCACATCGATTCTTTTGCATTATTGACAGCATTTGTGCCATTTACATGATCAGTGCAAGTGCTCTTGCATTGCATTTGAGAGCATCTCATTTTCTTGGGAACACCTTCAAAGACGCGATCTAAGACTTCTGGTCTTTCCCTTTCCCTTTTCTTCATAAAATCAATGCCACGTTTACTTAAATCCTGGCTGCTTACAGCAGTAAATGCGGTTTCCTTCTCGCACATACTCTGGTCAAAAATTTGTACCGCAAACTGCAAGTCCCCATCATATCTAAAAACAATAGCATCACCTTGTTCAAGAAAGTGATCTCTAACAAAATCGGCCCAACCGTCATTGAAGAGTAAATCATTTTCGACCAGAATTATGTCAATGTACCAACTACTCCCACTAGGACCGATTAAAACTGCTGTACCTGGTGCTCTCCCATCCATATATTTTACGAAGTTACATGGAATATTCTGAAGGAGCAAAAATGAAAATTTAAAACAAACACTAGCCATTTCAATATGATGTAGCAGATCAAGATGAATCAAAAACTCAGATAAGCTAGAAAATGCAAATAGAACATTACTCAAGCACACAATATACAGTTACACTCTTAAGGGATCTCAAAATCCTTCATATTCAAGAGCACTTTTCTTAAGCCACTTATGAACATTGAATTTAATTCCTACATAAACTTGCCCATTTCATTCCAATTCTTGGATCAAAGAAGTAGAATTCCACACTATGCAGAGTCGCATGCAAAAATGATGTTTGTTAGCAACTGAAAGGAAAAAAATTGGAAATTTCATTTGCTTCTCTGCACCTTTTCAGTACACAAGTTGAATTGTGACTTAGCGCCTGAAGGTTCCATTTCCAGTTTCATCTAATTCCTATTCAAGACTATCTTAGTAACTTCACATCCATTGTCATTTATAATCATAAAACAATGATGATGTGTTGAAGGAATAGGTATTTAATTGTCACTTAAGTTTACAGGAAATTATTTATATTTTCACTCTTAAAATATGACCCAGTGCAATCTGTGCTCCATTATCGGATGTTACCTAGTATGCAAATTATGTTCAATTCCATTTGTATCCTGCTTTTTTGTTTCTACCTATTCATGGAAGAATCGACATGAAAAGAACATAAAAATAATTCTCAATTTCTAAAGGACCCCCAAAACTGACACATAAAAGTCCCTAAACTAATAAAATGGAACACCACATCAAATGTGCATCAATAAATTATCAATAACTTCCAAGATAAATTTCTGAAAGCAAAGTTGAACCAGATTGCATCGTAACTGATTTACAATTACGATACTATACGAAGGTCGAAATGTGCAGTAGCACAGTAGCTAAGCAAACACGTCCCATTTTAAAACATATTGGAAGAGAGGAAACCAATTACCAGCCTCTCAGAGCATAGAGATGGATCGAAACCCAGAAGAAAGTGAGGTCTTCTCGTATTCGACATCTCTCTCGCTCTCTCTCTCTCTCTCTCTCTCTCTCCCTCCTCTCTCTGTGAAAAACCGAGAAAAATAAAATAAAGTAGAAAATTAAATAATTTTCGTAACTCACTCGGGAAATCCACAGGCAGGTGTGACCGTGTGAGTGAATCTATGAGAAATTTTTGAACTGCGAAGGCGAGTGATTGAAAAGAAAACAAAAAAAATGACACATACAATATACTTCTTTCATTTTCGACTGGTAGAATAAAATTATGTTTATACAACAAATAAACTTACTATATTACCATATTAATAAAATTATATTAATGTTATTTAAGTATCAGAGAATATAGTAAGTTTATTTGTTGTATATAGAAGGTTGACTTCACTATGGAGTCAACTGTTAGCTTCATAGCAAAACCAAGGGTTGATGTCAAGTAAGATTGATTCTCAATGAAAGAAATAAAAATAAATCATGACCATTAAATTTGTTGATATATTAATAACAAAAATTCAAAACTTGCCACTTATTAAGGATATTATGAACATTTTATATCTTATCATTTACCAACCTAATTATATATAATTATTCAGTGGGCCTCGCCCCTCCCACACACAGCACACATAGTTACACACATACACACGCATCTAATACACCACACGCAGACGGCCTCTCGCCGCCGGCTCACCACCCCCGCCGTCCACGGCCACTGTCGGACCCGTCGCCTGTCATCATCCTTCTGCCGCCATCACCGTCTGTTCGTCTCTGTCACGCCTTCATCCTGCGGCCCAATATTGTCAGCGGCTCCGATCGACCACCTTATACGCCGCTGTCTGGTTCAGCGTCGGAGCTCTCGTTGTCGTCGTCCTCCCTTTGTCGGCCACTGACCGTAACGTCTCTGTCACTTCCTCTGCCGCAGAGCTCAGCCACCTGCAAGTGGTGTAGACGCCTCCGACCGACCACCTTCACCATCGTGGTCGTCAATCCATCCCGTCACGGTCGTCGTACTTCTTCGTCCACCATCGGAGAAGAGTTCTGATGAAGATCGCGTGTCCCGACTCATGACTTGCCTCGAACGTGGCGTTGGCTTTGGTCCTCGACAGTTGGTGCGGACGACTTGGAGGTTAATCTCCTTATCTTCTCGCGATAGGTGAGACAGCTCGGACGAATATCCTCTCCAAACTTGACTTGTTCGAACGATGCGGTGAACACCCTTTTCGAGACAAGGGTTTTACGCTAAAAAATCAAGAGAAATCTAAAGCAAGGATTAAACAAGAGTTCAGTTTTTCTTATCGATAAAATGATAGATAAATTATCCTAATAACATGAGTATTTATAGATATCAACTAGATCTAATCCTATTCGAAATAGACTTCTAATTCTATGGAAAGTAAATCACTAGAATCCTAAAGTATCCAAACTAAAACACCCTAAACAATCTAGGAATAATAATAAAGTATCTAGAATAATCTCTCAACTTGATCGCCAAGCAACCCTAGCCGCCTTGTTCGGCACGCCCGTGCTCGTCACCTGCATACGCCTTTCCATTGCGCAGTTTCTTTCGGCGTCGATCTCTACGCGCATCTCGGTACTCACTCGCGTGCTCGTACGCGCCTGGTTCGATCGCGATCCGCTCGGGTGCACCATCATTGCGTGCATTGTCCCACGTGCCATCATCCGCGCCGATCGTATTAACCTCTCCGGCCGGCAAGCCAACCGCTTCCGTGCATGATAAGCCCGGTTGACCGCATTTTTCAATCTCCTAGCCGTATCCTCATCATTCTCGTCCCCTTTGAGTGTTTCCTTGTCCTCAAGGATGAAGTCGAGAAATCGCATGTGCATTTCGGCTAAGTTCTCCCATGTCGCCTCTTCCTGTGGCAAATCTTCCCATTCAACTAACACTTCCCAAAAGAAATGTCCGGCCTTCTTTACTTCACGATAACCCAATGCTCGACTTGGACTAACAATGATTTGCCCGTCCGGCGCCATCGCAGGTAGATGGTCGCTTAATTTGTGCGACTCGCCCAAGCTCCTCTTGAGTTGTGAAATGTGGATCACGGGTGAATTTGTGATTCTGCGGGTAACTCGAGTCGATATGCCACCTTGCCAATTTTCTTAAGTACTTGGTATGGCCCATAGTATCTGTAACGCCCCACTTTGATTTTATAGAAATTCTGGACTTTCCAAAAATCAGTAAAACGTTTTCAAACTCATCTTTGAAATCATGGGCATTATTCACAACATTTACATAGTCCAAGTCTTATCTGGACCCACAGGGATTCATAAACCCGATTTTCACATATGGTTTTCATTAACCCGATTCACAACATATCTCACATGTTATTCAGCTCAAACAAAACAGCATGAATAAACTAAAGTAACATGATATCTAATTAAACACATACTTATGAATATCCAAATAGAGGGGTTTCAAAACAAACCAGTCCAACATTCAAAGTCAAATTTGAAATCAACCAACATGTCCAATAATCTCAAACATAAGGTTCATAAACTGCGAAAGCTATAATAATAATTAATGACCACCCACTCATCTTGCCTCGTCATCCGCCACCTGCTTAACCTGCATCCGTGAAGAGACATGTGGGAGTGAGCACAATTGGAAACCGTAGTGCTCACCACTATGCACATAATATAATAAAATGTTATAAATCAATCACCATCATGTCTCATCTCCTATCAATAACACAACAATAAGTCACTCATGTACACATCTATCATTAGCCGTGGAAAGGGGATGCATAAACCCTAACGACGGGAGTGCGTGCCATGCAAGGACACGGCCTTTCGTTAGGTCTTAAGGAGATTTTGCCTCGCAAGGGCAACCGTACCGTAACTCGACGGGGACAAATGTACTGACGGCCGTAACAGCTCACATCGGTAGGCCACATGGTTCACATACATACATTGATCATACCAACCAAACACTTAAACACGTATGGCATAGAGAATTTTTAGAATAACAAACCCACCTAGTATTTCGGAATGGCAAAAACACAACAAGTAGTGACGTAGGTCGAGGCTTGACTCCTCAAACACCTACAATAAGTCAATATACTACAATCAACACTTATCTTGACCTTAGAAGGAAAAACACAAATCATACTTAGTCGAACTTGATTCAACTAAGTTGTTCGTGGAGTCCTATGGACATTGGAACACTTGGACTTAGCACTTAGACTCGACAAACACGATTATGGGAAGACACATAAATTCAAGTAAGGGTTGACCAAGACGAGTAATAGGGAGTAACATATATGCAAAAGTACCTAAAAATTTAGACTTAAACATAATAAGCTAAATTTTTGAACATTTGACGAGAATATCACATTTCCAACTTGGTTAGGCAAATGAACGAGTTAGGCTCTAAAATTTTAACACAAAATTCTAATCACTGGACATAGCAATATTACCAATTACCAAGTATCAGCTTTTAACTCAAAACACCCAATTTTACAAAATTAAAACAAGATTTCAGCAAAAACGAGCATGAATTTATAGTCTGACCCAATGAACGATTTAAGACTTGAAATTTTTACACAAACAACTACAGGCCATCTCATTCGATTTCACAACACACGGCGGCGCTCGGCGGTTGCACGCGACTCGCAGCGGCGGCTCGCGGTGGTGCTGCGTGTGGTGACGGGGCGCATCGGGACTGCTCACGAAGGAGACGGCCTGAGATGGGAGGACACCGGTTCTCACGAGAGGAGGAGGTCGCCGGGAGTTCGCGGAGGCGCTACGACGGCGGTTTGCTTGCGAAGTAGGGACGACGTTCGAGGGTTCACGAGCGGATAGAGACTGAGGGCCTGAGGTTCGACGTGTGATGGCTTCAGCGGTGGTTCGCGAGAGAGAAACAGCGACGTGCGGACGTCGCGATGGCCAGCGGCCGATGAGCGACAATGGGGCGGTCAGCGGCGATCGTTTTGCGAGAAAAATGAGAGAGACGATGGTGTTGCACGAGATTGAGAGAGTTTTGAGAGAGAAGAGTGGCTGCGGGCGTTTATTTTTCACGAGAAGGGAAAAATAACCTCTTGTATTTAAGGTTTAAGCTAGGGCTTCCAAACACCTACTTACCATAAGTTGGAAACCAAGAAACAAAAGAGAGGGAGGGGAAAACAGGCCGGGCAGACTGGGTATGGCCTATGTAACGCCCCGTTCAGTTAATAAATAGAACCGATTCACTTTGCTCGACATTAGAGTGAAATCAGAAGCATTTTTCATATAATCGAGTTAGTCAATTAAAAATGCTATTAATTGCCTAAGAATTTTTATGTGATTAATATAATTTAATTGATAAGTTATAAGGATTAAATTGATGTAAATGTATAAGTTATTTAGACAATAAGGTCTATTTAAATTATTAAGAGTATATTCGAACTTATATTTGAAGTATAAGTTTTATCGGTTTTCGATTGTAGTCGGAATTTAAGTCCGATTTCAATTTGGGAAAAAAATTTATATTTCTCTATATATATTTTTGTAGACATCAAGATGAACTTTAGCATGGATTTTCAAACAGGAAATCAACACAATTTTAGATTAAATTGTAAAAAGTCGTAAGTGATATTGTTTTTTTAAAAATAAAAATAAAGTGTTAAATTTAAAACAAGTTATTCCTCATGAAATTTCTTGATATTGATTTATATATCATGTGTGATGTTAGTATAATTTGGAACATGGTAAGAATAAAATTTTTCAGCATAAAAAGGAAAAAAGGGAAAAAGCAAAAGAAAGAGATTTAAAATTTTCGATTTTACGGTAACCGTTCGTTTTAAGTCATATTTCGGTTCCGTAAATTAGAGATTTTTCATTAAGTCACGGATTTTATCATGGGAATCAGATTAGGATCACATGATGGCCCTTTCTAAGCATTGACTATAGATTTGTTAAGTTTACAAGTTATGATTTCAATTTTTTTTATCTTTATTTATTTTTATTAAATTTATCTAAGTATTATTAAGTGATAAATGACCCATTTCAGATTGATTTCGAGATATAGGAGTTTTTGTCTTGATATACAAAAGAAAAATCATGCATTACAAGTACCTATCAATGCTTAATCAATTTTGTGCAAGATTTTAG